GGCGGCGGGGAGCGTGGCGCAGGGGCGGGATGGCGGCGGCGTCGAGGGGAGGCCGGGGGGGCTGGATTGGCGGCGAGTGCGGCCAGCGGCGCGGGACGCCGGGAGGCGGGAGGTTGGGAAGGGAAATTTCCCTCCCGCGCGACGGGGGAAGGGAGTGCGGGCTGGGGTCGAGCGCCCCCCTCCAGCCCTCACTTCTACGGTTCGAAATTGGGTTTGAGCGTTGGACCCTAACTTTTTTTGAGGGTTTGAGGGTTTAGAGGTTCTAGTCTTTGCGTTTTTTTGTTGCAACCCGCAAAAAAGCGGTTATTTATGAGGGTTTGAGGGTTTAGGGGTACTACTAGTAATGCTCTAAGCTCGTTAGATGTAGCACGGGCAAGGCACCAGGCGCTACTACTAAGTTAGGCCCACGGTGCCCAGGAGCCCCTGGGGCTAGCCATAGTAGCAGTGCGGGCCACGCACCCACGCGCTGCTGATACCACGTTAATAGTAGCGTGTGCCCAGCATCACACGCTACTACTATTGCTAGCCTCGAGGGCACTGTGGGCCCCCATTAGCGGTAGCATTTGTCTGTTTAATCCGCGGCGCTGCTATGGTTTACCTGTAGCATAGCTTCCCGCAACGCGCCACTGCAAAGTATCAGCAGCGCGGGCCACTTAGTCCATGCTAGTGCTAAGCAGTGGCGGAGGCAGGGGGACCATCAGGGGCCCTGGCCCCCCCTAATACAACTGATTTAAGCCTAATATACATCTGAACAAATGATTATTTTCTATGAAAATGGTGTATTATGGTGGATTGGCCCTCCCTGACAAGGCTCGGCAGCACTCGGCCCTCCTCATTCTTTTTTCCTGGCTCCGCCACTGGTGCTAAGCATCTACCTATAGCCCTTTCTCTAGTAGTGTTGTATTAAGATTAGACATGAGATGAGTCATTTTGTTCACAATCCTCTATTTGGCGCATGATTGGAATTTTGTGTAAGAATTTGAAGAGAACCTGTATTCTCTTGTTAGTTTATTGGAACTGTTGAGAGACTGGAAAAGAGAAGTTAACGTAAGTTATGATGAGGATTTAAAATTGACTCACTAAAAAATTTTCCTTCCAACTCTCACCCCCTCCCCTGTTAAAAATCTATGGAAGTTAGAGCCTTAAGTTCCATGCATATTTCCTCATGAATTCCCAATCCCCGTGACCAAAGAATAGCTTTGAAACCTCATACTGTTTCAATTCCAATTCACTAGCTCTAATTAGCTCCCACCAAACACACATTTAAGCTACGCTATTTCCTTGCCTGAATCCTGTTCGGAGCCTCTAGCACCTGTTAAGGTACAAATAATACCAAACGCCTATAGAGAGCTTCTATGACCCCTTCCGTAGTGGGCCGACAAATATTGTTTTTCTTCTGCACCGATTCCTCTGGTTTTTTCTGGGGTGGTTTTATGTGATTTATTTAGGTTAGCTCAGTATTTTTGTTTTCCTTTTTCTTTCTCCTTTTATTTTTACTTTGCTTTTACATTTTTTCGAGTGCGTGATTTTTTCTCAAATTCGTTAACTTTTCAAAAATTATATTATTTTTAACTTGGTTAATTTTTTTCTCAAATTGCTGATTTGTTTTCAAATTCATGAACTTCTATCAAATTTAGAAAAGTTTCTCAAATTTTTGTACTATTTTGAAATCAGGAAAAAAATTCAAAAATTTATGGACTTTTTTTTTACATTAGTGAACTTTTTAGACTTTCGCTAACTTTTTCAAATTGAAGAACTTTTCCAACTGTCAATATTCAAAGGTTAACGGTCAAAGCCTAAGGTGAATTAAGAATGGTCTACGGTAAACAAATATTAAAGGTCACGTGGCCTCGTGGGTTATGGCCTATCTTATCTAGCTTGCACTTGAGCGCCATCCTTCTTAGTGATAGGACATATTTGAGGGCCAGCTTCCTTAGTGGGTTATGGCCTCGTGAGTCCTTCCATTTCATGACACACGCGCTACAAAGTGAGCTCCGGCACTTTTTTCTAACACAGTACAGACGCAAGCGCTCATATACACGCGCATACACTCACCTCTATGAACGCACACACGCACGCCCTACCCCTATGAGCACCTCCGAATGACTGAGCCAGCATATCATTTTGAAATTTACGAAGTCAACGTAGCCATCTCGTCGTCGATGGGAACGTCTCCTCCCACTGAATGCGCAACGCCAAAAATCTTGAAATAAATCCAGAAATAAATGCGAGCACCAGGATTTGAACTCTAGTGGGCTATGGACAATCTATTTGCCGGCAAGGTGCTCCTGTTTTTTATTTTTTGTTTTTCTTCTTAGTTTCTTCTTGCTTTGTTTACTTCAAAAACTGTTCACAAATCTCAATTAAAAAAAGTTTTCAGAATTTTCTAAAAAAATTCTTTATTAAAAAAATGTTAATGAATTTGAAACATTATCCCCAATTTTAAAAAATGTTGATGAATTTTAAAAATATTTGGGATTAATAAATTGCTTATGAATACAAAAAGTACCAAATTTTAAAAAATGTCCATGAATTTTAGAAATATTCATGATTAATAAATTGCTTATGAATACAAAACAATGTTCAAGAATTTATAGAAAAACGTTTGAATTAAAAAAATTCTAAGTTCAAAAGTGGTTTGTTGAATTTGAAAAATTGTATTGTTTTTCAATTTTTCTGTGAATTTCGAATGAAGCTACCAAATTTGAAAATATATTCATTAATTTACAGTTGTTTGCCAATTCAAATGATATCCATGGATTAAAAAATATCCGCTAATTTCAAATTTGTTCCCAAATTTCAATTTTTTTTGTTGATTCGAGAAAAGTTCTCAAATTTTTGAAAAAATCACAAATTTTGAAAAAGTTCACTAACTTAAAAACAATTCTATCAAAAAATGCGAACGAATAAAAAAAGTATTCATGACTTTTAAATTTTCCCGCACTTAAAAAATACTTGCAAGTTTCAACAATTGTTCTTCATTTTTAGATAAAATAAAAAAAGGAAACGAAAATTGTATATTTATTGAAAGGAAAAAACACATAGAAAAAGAATAAGATGAAAAGGGAAAAACGGAAAATATAAAAGAAAGAAAACCAGAAGAGAAACAAGAGAATCAACCTGTGCGGTGGAAAAACCAGGAATTGGCCGGCTAAATTTAACCAGCACGCTGCGACGGGTGGTACACATTACTAGGCTATTCTCCGATCTAGGCAAGAAATAGGACCTCGCCCAACGTGTAACAGCACGCATGTGCGAGCGCATGATAAGTTTGTTACTTTTTTCTTCTTTCGACTTTTTTTCTTTGTTTTTTATTTCGAGTGCTTTCACTTTAAATTTAATAAAATTCAAAATAATTTCATAACACTTTTTTTGAATTTTAATAAGTGTGTACATTTTAAAAATATTTGTGAATTCAAAAATTGTTTGCAATTTCAGAAGACGCAAATTTTGGAATAAGTCCAAGAATTTGATAAAATTGTTTGTGCGTATTAGGTTGGTTTGTTCTTTTGAAAATGTTTCGTGAGTATTAGAAAAATATTAAATGTATAATAATAAAAGTTTCGTACGTATTAGCTATCTGCCTGCGTTTGCCAAGCTGACCTCTGTCGAGTACAGCTTGCAATGTGTTGCGTGCATCAAGATAAACTCTTGTTTGGTCACCATGGTATCGACCATAATGATAAATGGACCATGACACTAAAAGGTACTTTCATCATGAAGAAAACTTTTGATGCATAGTGATTCATAATGGCACATGATATATTTTTGAATTTAATTTAAACAGTATGAATAAAGAAAAGTTCTGTTGGATATGGTAGATATTGTACGGTCGCTTCAACTTACCACTTACATTTTACGCCTATTGGTCGTCTTGATATAGTAAACTGATATCATCAAGTTGTCGTGATCTAGCTACCTTTGTAACCGAACATTGGTCGTCCGTCCCATGTTATGCCATAGATGGCTAGTTACAACAGTTTAGGAAACATTAGGAGATACATAACTAGTTTAGATAGATGTTGTTGTCGCTTCGACATAAATATTATCTACGCTTGTCATCTACACAAACTTTGATTTCTTAAGGGAGCTACAAGGGAGTACACAACCCACAATTATTTAATTCATAGCGTTGCCCACCATTATCCCTATATCATCGTAATCCACATTAACTACTACTACTACAAGGGAGCTACAAGGTAGTATATATAATTATATGATTATGGTGGTGTTTGGTTCTCTAGTCCTAGGACTTTTTCTAGTCCCTGGGACTTTTTGAAAAAGACTTTTAAGGAGGTGTTTCTAAGGACTTTTAGTAAAAAGTTCCAAAAAAATCTCACCCTGTTTGGTTTGCTAGGGACTTTTTTTAGTCCCAACACAAAAAAGTCCTTGGAACCAGACACCCCCTATGTTAATGAGGATGAGTTGTAAACAGTTAAGTAAAAGCTGGAACGTAAATGGTATCCAGCGAAAATAGCAATGGATCCAGCTAGTCAAATTAATGACTTACTCCAAATGAGACAAGGAAATAAAAGGTATCCAATGAAACTATTCCTCCATCCCATCAATAATATTACGTAAGACTTAACAATCTCACAATAATCGAAACAATTTAATATTCAACATCCTGGGAAGTGAGAGGCAAATGAAAGGCATCCAATGAAACAATGCCCGGATCTAACCAGTAAAATCAAGTAAGGCATTTAACTGATATAAAATATTAACTAAAAATAATCAAAAGGTGAAGGTGAAAAAAGGAAATACATGAGAGTAATAAAGAGAAGGAAGGGTAGTCGTCCATTTCCAGCTACAGCTGATGAAAGGGCAAAAGACGAAATAAATGAGGGCAATAAAAATAAGAATGGCAGCCCTCCGTTTCTAGCCACGGCCAATGACTTGGTAATCAAATTTTCTTATATATCCCCGCAAAAAAAATCTCTTATATATACCGCACCAACTCAACCCCAATCTCCATCCATTACCACACCACCCTCATTTTTCCTCTCCTCACTTAGCTTTTCTCCACCCTGCTAGCTTAACTCCTTGCCGTGGGTAGCTATGGCGGCGGCGAAGTCGAACCAACTCAGCACCCTTGTGCCCAACATGTTCGCTGCGGTGAGCTATTTACAATTTTGATGCCATTTGTTTTTCCTTTGCTCCTCCTCCTCCCTCCTCCCTCCCAACCCTAGCCGCCCCGCCCCACCTCTTGACCCCTCCCCCTCTTCCCTTCCTTGCCGCCGCCTGAGGAAGCCGTCGGGCAAGCCCGAGGCGCCAAGGATAGTGGCGGCAGGGCCTCGATTTGCCATGCCTCTGTGTGGGGAACCCCAGATCTAGAGGGACAGTTCCATTGGCAAGGCATGGCCGACTAGCAGCCGTGTGGGCGGTGGATCTGGCGTCCCGGCCGCGCGGGCGGCGGGATCCGGTGGTCGTTGGCGGCCGGCGGCAGCTTCTGCGGTGGCCGGTGCGCACGATCTGGAGCCTCCCATCCTCCCCTGTTCGGCGTGCGGGCCAGCCTGGTCGGGCTGCACTTCCTTGGGTCGCGGTTCTGTACAGGAGGCGCTGCTAGTGGCGGGGATCTAGTTCGGGCGAAATCCCTGGTCGGCCATGGCCGGCCGCGTCGACGGCGACGCTTGGGGGCGTCGTTCCCCTCCTTGGAGGCGTCGGTATGGACTGATCCCCTCACTTCCCCTTCCCCTAGGTCTCCCGGACGATAGCCCTAACTTTGTTGGGCGGCGATGGCGCTCACGGCACCGTTCCCTTCTTGAAGGCGCCGCTTTGGGAACCTTGGGGCTGGGTGGCGCTTGTGGGTGGTGGGCGATGGCGGTGGTGCGGCCCTATCCTAGCATGGATCTGCATCCGTTGCTTGGAGATGGACTCACGTAGGTAGAGGTCGTCGTTTGGTGCCATGGTGGCGTCGATGGCGGAGGCACCTGCCAAGGTTGGCACCTCAATATGCTCTGAAGATGGACCAGTGGAAGATGGCGGCAACGACACATGTGAGTGTGTTGGACCGGTTTGTGCCCTGGACCCGGTACGTGACTCCGTCGGGGCCTCCGGCTTTAGATGTTAGGCTTAAGTGAGAGGTCTGGGTATTTGGCCCATCTTGCACCCCTTCATCATATGGATTGGAGTAGCGACAGATGTTGCCAAGATGGCGGATTCAGGCATATTATTGTGCTACTTTGTAAGGTTCTCGAGAATAATCAATAAAATGGCCGCATGCATCTCCTAGATGCAAAGGCCAGGGGTCATCCTCGTTTTCTAAAAAAATGATGTTTTTCCTTTTGTGTTTCTTTGGTGGGTTAGGGTTTGCTGGACGATCAGTTCCGGCAGCTTGAGATGCTCCAAGATGAGGGCAACCCAGACTTCGTTGCCAAGGTTGTCATGCTATTCTGCGAGGAAGGAGAGCGTATCATTGGCGAGCTTGCCAAGCAATTGTACGTTGCCATGTCAGGTGACCTGATCATTTGTGTAGGGTGGTTTGATTTGACTTCTTACTTGGGCATTCGGTTCATGTCTGTGTAGGGACCAACCATGTGTGGACTATGACAAGGTGGACACATTTGTGGATCAGCTCTGGGGAAGCAGTTTATAGTAAGGCCTCTTTTCTTCTTCTTTCACCTCCTCTTTGTATGTGTTTGTGCAGTAGTATGTATCAGGACTATTTTTGTTTTCTGTGTTTTGGAATGAAAACTAGGTATTTAGATCCCAGCTAGATACATCATAAGGCATCCTATCATGTTGGGGGAGAATTATCGTCCATTTTCATCATTATAGTGTTTTATGGCAAGCGTGGTCAATTTCCTGAATTGATCAGGCGGCTCAACAAGTATGGATAGATTGAGATAAATACGGGGATGGCTGATATCAGTTTGGCAAGTTGTAGTGATTTATCATCTGATCCAAAAAAATTAATCCATTCCATACATCTCAGCTAGCTCAAAATGTACCACGTGGCATCTTCCAATTAATTTTGGGAGTGGTTGACATCCGTTTGGTCCTTTTACTATTATATGATTTAGATCCGACAATCGATTTTTCTGTTATATTGTTGTATTATTTCTATACGAAGACCCCTTTGGCTGTTTTACTGTTTTATAATTTACATCTGACAAATTGCACGGGCGTAGTACGGTTTTATGATTAAGATCTGACAACCCGTTTGACCATTGTACTGTTCTATGATGTAGACAATTTGGCCATTGTAGTACTTTATGGTTTGGATCCAAGAAACCTTGGCTGTTGTACCGTTCTATGAATTAGATCTGACAAATATCAATCACTTCCCATAAATCATATAGCTCCATAGTACTCCATACCCACCTTGTTAAGTGGTTCTTCCAATCGCAAAAAAAAGTGGTTCTTCCAAGTGATGTTTTGGAGGTTAACATCAATTCTGTCGTAGTGCATAATGATTAAAATCCAATAAATAACATTTGTCCTTCACAAATTAGACGGCTCAAAGAGAAGCACTTCACATTTTCCTTTCTGAAGTGGGGCTCGTACAATTAATTTGGGGAGGATCGTCACCCTCTCCTTTACAATCACAACTTTGCATGACATAGATCCCTTGCCTCAGGAATCTTGTTTTAGGTATGTTTTTCGTATATACGTTTTTTTGGAACCACAGTTTGCAACCAATGAGTCACAACTACTCTATGTAGATGTCACATTTCTAACTTATATGTCATTTATTACAAACTACCACTTTCATTACTGAAAATGTTAACTCCTAGTGGATCAATGTATCACTTTGCTTTACACTGGGCTTTCATAGTTGTATTTAGTTGATTTCATAACTCGGTGGTACATCTATTTGCTTAGGAGGTGGAAGTGAAGGGAAAGCACTACCATGCTAATTTTCTTTCATTAAAGTGATTTTATGGGTCTTTCCTCATTGTATGCTATTGCATGTCGCAGTGTTGGTGCTCAGAGAGTGAAGAACACTTGTATTCAGTTCCATGAGTGTTGTCAGGAGAAGAGCAAAGTTGGGTTAGTAACTTGTGCCATCATGTCACACACTATTGTTTTTTCAATCATTTTGCTATTGAAATCTTCGCACTGAGTATGATTTCCTAGTGTGCTCTAGTCATCTACTGGAACATATTTTCTTACTATTAGTGTTATGAGAGTATATATTCATGGAATTGCATGTTCATCGCTTTTGTAATCGGCTGAATGTATTCAGCCATTATGGATAGACATATCTGGCTAACTCCACTGAGTTTCTTGGGTTAGGAATATAACTTAGAGTTTTGTTCTTATTGATGTAAATTGTAATGGCCATTAGCATTTGTAGTAGTTATTAATTAGTAACATGGCCATGAGCATTTCGAGACGAGCTTCACAACTTACTGATTTTTTTACTTGTCAGGTGTCTGAAGACACTGGATTCTTTGAGAAATGATTTCTATGATCTGTGCAGCATGTTCATACCATAGGCTTCAGGTATTTATTTCTTTGTCTCGTCTTGAAATCTAAGTAGCGTTTTTTTTGTGAGTGAAATCTAAGTAGCATTACAGTAAAATAGAATAGCAATCTCCAAACAATTTTCTTTTTATTCTAAAGTTTGCTTGAAATGCAAAACGTAGAACTAAACAGTAGATATGAGGCTATGGATTCAGTTAGTGTACTGCATTACAACAGATGAAAGACATGTTAATGAAATGAATGCGACTAGTTTGCATGTCAGACATTAAATTACTTGTGCTAATTGTGGAAAACAAACAAGCATGGACAGTTTTTTTTTCTGTGGCAAGTTTGTACCTAGAGGTACTACTTGGTGTCTAGCACTACCAGAAATCTCAGTTGAAAATCTTCGTTCACAGATAACTGTTTTGGGTATATATGACATCTGAATCTTACCTCATTACCTCGAAATAGTCACCTGTCGCCTCAAAACTTATCACAGGTCACAACATTGATATTTAATGGACTTCGTGTTTTGCTTTCTTGTCTGGATGATGGACATAATCCTTACAATTATTTTGTGTTTAACTCTTTGGGTCCTCCTTCTGAGTAAGATCGTGGTTTACGAAACTAACATGTTATCTTATTTTCAAATACAGCTGCAGCAGCATGTCCTAAAGTGTAGACCGGAGCAATAAAGCAGGAGCTGCATGTTCTGATTGCATATTGTGTTTCAAGTCGTACAACATGCTCAAGTTAGCATATATGGCTTGGAGTTGTTTGCTTCTGTGGGGTCTATAGTTCTGTCAAGCGACAAGCTGCTCATCTGGTGTCGATTTCTGTGGTACCGTCCGTAGTTTAGTTCTGAATTATTGGTGGTCAAATAACAATCATCCGCGATCATTTTGCCGATTATCGGTGGTTAATCTGGTGTCGTGGTTCTAGTCAGTTTCTAGCTCGTAGAAATTCAGTGGCAGTGTATCTCGACAAAATCATGTGTCTTTGGTCGGCATATGGACTATGGTGATATATTGTGGAGAACATGGTAATGTTATTTCGTTATCAAGTTATGTTTGTTGTTGGGTGACAAAGTGCGTACCAAAATAATTTTATTTCTTTTGTCTGGCCTTTTGGTTGATCTCACTTCTCCAGCAAAGCTACAGGGGAAGGGGGGAGAAAAGATGAGAGATTTCTGGAAGAACCTCAACCATCGATCCATTCCTCCTCACAGTATATACACCTTCCATTTACATTTTGACCCTTCACACTTCCCTGTTTTGCAACTCACACCCTACAACACTCCTATAACTCACACCCTACAACACTCCCCCTCAAGATGGGGCGAAAACGTCTAAGAGCCCCATCTTGTCACACAATTTTGAGAATGATACAACACTCACACCCTTTGTTAATGCATCAGCAAGTTGATCCCCACTTTTAACAAAGCCTACTTCAAGTACTCCCTCGTCAAGTTTCTCCTTAATAAAATGCCTATCAATTTCGATATGTTTTGTTCTATCATGGTGAACCGGATTGTTTATGATGTTAATTGCGGCCTGATTATCACAATGAAGTTTAAGTGGTCCTCCTTTGAACAACCGAAGTTCAGTTAACAATAATCGAAGCCACAACAACTCACATAGGCCCGCAGCCATGGATCGCAATTCTGCTTCTTCTGTGGACCTGGCGACAACACTTTGCTTCTTACTCCTCCAACTGACTAAATTTCCTCCCACAAAGATGCAATAACCTGAAGTGGATCTCCTATCATCCAGGCACCCAGCCCAATCAGCGTCTGTGTATCCCTCAACTTCTAGATGACCATGATATGAAAGAAGAATTCCTTTTCCAGGACACCCTTTGAGGTATCTCAAAATTCTATTTACTGCATCTAGATGACTTGATCGAGGATCATGCATATATCTACTCACCAGACTAACTGCATATGCAATGTCTGGTCTAGTGTGGGATAGATAAATTAAACGCCCTACAAGTCTCTGATATCTCCCCCTATCAACAGGTTCTCCTGAATTTGCTGTAATACGAAGGTTCATTTCAATTGGTGTGGCAGCAGGTTTACTTTCAAGCATCCCAGTTTCAGTGAGAAGATCAAGCACATATTTTCTTTGAGAGAGATAGATACCTTCAGCCCCATAAGCTACTTCGATTCCCAAGAAGAAGTGAAGAAACCCGAGGTCTTTGACCTCAAATGACTTCGCCAACATCTTCTTCACATTCCTTATCTCCTCATCATCATTACCTGTAATCACAATGTCATCAACATATACCACCAATATGACAGTTTTGTTTTGGTGATGCTTAAAGAAAAGGCTGTGGTCGGCATTGCTCTGTTTAAAGCCCAAGGAGCGGACTTCTTTGCAAAATCTTCCAAACCAAGCCCTTGGCGACTGTTTAAGTCCATAAAGTGATTTCTTCAATCTGCACACTTTACCCTCTGTCTCAGGCCCATTAAACCCTGGTGGAATCTCCATATAAACTTCTTCCTGTAGATCTCCATGAAGGAATGCATTCTTCACATCTAGTTGGAACAACTTCCACTTGTTATTCGCTGCCACCGAGATTAAAGCTCTAATGGTGTTCATCTTTGCAACCGGGGCGAAGGTTTCATCATAGTCCAGCCCATACGTTTGGCTATAACCTTTCGCCACAAGTCTTGCCTTGTATCTCTCTACTTTGCCTTCTGGTGTATGTTTTATGGTGAACACCCATTTGCATCCTACTACCTTCTTGTTATTGGGAAGTGGTGTAACTACCCATGTATTATTCTTGTCGAGAGCAGCCATCTCCTCCAGCATAGCTGCCCTCCACTTTGGGTTTAATTTTGCCTCCTGCCAATCCCGTGGCAAAGGTTCTGCAGCATCCAGTGCTGCGATAAAAGACTTGTAAGAAGGACCGACAATATCATACGAGACATAGTTGGAGACCATATAAGGATCCAATTTAGAGGGCAATTTTCTAGCATTAGACCGTGGCTGCTTTCTGTGAGCTATCGGAACATCAAGGTCATGATATTGAGAAGAGATGTTACCACTGTCCGAGGAAGATCTGGTGTCATTAGTTTGACCTTGCGTATCATCCTGGTGGTCAGCCTCCTGCTCTTGCTCCCGGTGTTGTCCATAAGCCTCTGGTTCGGGTTCCAGCACTTGCATTTGCTCCTCTGTGGTACGTTGTCTTCGTGTATACACCTGAATCTCCCTTTCCTCATTTGGTCTTGGTCACCGGAGTGCTTCATTCGATGTATCATACGGCTCCCCCTGTCTTTGTTCTTGTCTTGTTTCTGCTGGAATTACCCCAATTATCATCTTTCCTGATGTTTCATCATCTTCTTCTTTCTCACAATTCACACTAGAAGTTTCATTAGTAAACAAATCAGGGAACACATCGGTTAAATCTGTTGGCTCACCATAAAATGGTTCTTGCTCTCTAAATACCACATCCATACTCACAAACATTCTCCTCTCAGATGGACACCAACATCTATAACCCTTCTGTGTACCGGAATAGCCTACAAATACACACTTTAATGCCTTTGGATCTAGTTTGCCAACCGATGGTCTATAATCCTTCACAAAACAAACACAACCAAAGACCTTAGGAGGAACTACATATTTTGTTTCACCTGTAAGACACTCCATTGGTGTTTTATAACCAAGTACCCTGGATGGCATTCTATTCATTAAGTAGGCAGCTGTCATTATGGCCTCACCCCACAAAAACTTAGGAACATTCATAGATGTCATTATGAAACGAGTGATTTCTAGAAGATGTCTATTCTTCCTCTATGCCAAACCATTCTGCTCCGAAGTACCTGGACAAGTTGTCTGATGAATAATCCCAAAACTTGAAAAGTACTCATCAAATTCCTTGTTCACATACTCCGTGCCATTGTCAGTGCGAAATATTTTCATACATGCATTATATTGTGTTCTGATCATATTGTGGAAATCAACAAAGCATTCGAACACATCATTCTTGTTCCTCAACACATAAACCCAAGTGACTCTAGTACAACAGTCAATAAAGGTAACAAACGACCGATAACCATTTAAAGATGAAACACCACTAGGACCCCACACATCAGAATGTATAACTTGAAGTGGTGTGTCACTTCTATTATCAGATGATGTGTAAGAGCTACGTGTCTGTTTGTCATATTGACAAGCATCACATACTAGACACCCCTTGCTAACTTTCTTATAGAGATCAGGATAAAGTTGACCGAGAGTGACAAAAGACATATGTCCTAGCCTGCGGTGGTGGAGAAGAAATTCTTCAAGTGGTGAAAGAGGTATAGCAGCTGCTACTACCGCAGGAGACATATTATTATCCAGATAATACAACCCATCATGCATGCTCCCTGTCCCAAGTCTTCTTCCAGTCCCAAGTTCCTGAAACAAGCACCATGATGGAAAGAAGATGGCAACACAATTTAGCTCTTTTGTAATGCAACTGATGGATAGTAAATTTATTGGGAATGAGGGAACATGCAAAACAGAGGACAAAGATATATCATTGCTGCACACAATTGTTTCTGATCCCATAATGGTTTGGGAGGAGCCATCAGCTAATTTAACGCTTTGCCTTTGTATCTCAGGAGTATAATCAATAAAGCTTTTGTAGGAGCCAGCCATATGTCTAGATGCACCTGAATCTAATAGCCATGGTGCATTGATGGATTTATATTTCATAGTGCGAGAGTTGTTACCACCGAAATTTGCAGAGGCCGTAGAGGCAGATGTTGCAGGTGCTTCAGCGGTTGACTTGTCACCTAAATGTAGCTCCTTGAATTGACACCACTTCTCCCAATCCTCAGCAGTCATGTGAACGCTCATGGTTTGAGTGGTATTTTCAGAGATTACAGATGTGTTCGCTCTACCAGTAGGGCGTGTTCCTCGCCCGCGGCCACCTCGTCCTTCAAACCGACGACCACGCCCTCTTCCCCGCCAGTCCTGCCCTCTTCCTCTACCTGCTCCCATTAATTCAGGGCATGAAGACCTCAAATGTCCTGGTT